AGTAACAAGAAGAATTCTCTCCTTGACAAGTGACGAGATGGCTGAAGGCCTATGGACGTCCACGCCAGAAGGTAATGATCATCGCGGGGCGAGGATCACGTGATTGACATCACGCCAAGACGACCGTCAGACGCTAGTATGTGATGGCAGCAATCCTTTGATGGCAGCCATCAGGACATCAGGCCAAGCAACGGAAAAGTCGTGATGGCAGTGATGGCAGGACTGGAAGCAATGAGGATATAAGGATGGATGGATTTCATTATTACTCTCGTTGTGGTCAACTCAAATTGTACTTTCTTACTAGTATCCTTACTTAACAAGATTGTCACAAGTTAGTCTATCAAATAGATTAGTCTTGTCAAACCCTCCTTAAGCACGCCAACTCCACTGCATCGCCAGACAAGCCTCACGGAACACTAACGTAATACTCACCTGCCTTAGTGCGGACCAGGATAGAGAAGTATAGACCCTTACCCCGTGTAACAGTAATGCAGCAAGTGCTAAGGATTTGGACATAACGCTAGCAGGTGTAGAAACCTAGCTAGCTGCCAGCTCTGTGCCGAAAATTACTTAACTACGCAGCACTACTGCAGTATTTGTAAGGCAAAAGGAAAGGCGTGTAACTATACGCTACTAAAATGTAAAAACTATAAAAATACTTACTTTGCTAATAGTAGAGACTGCGAGGTTCTTCTATCTATTAAATAATGGTAGAAAACCTTAAAGTACTATAAGTAAACTTAGATAAAAGCCTATACGCTATAGAGTTAACGCTATAACTAGTAATTGAGCTTAAAGTTAATATTATTGTAATCTAAGAGCTGTGGATTGCACCTTTAGATAGCAATAACTACGAAGCCCTAAGGTTAATAGCCCACTAAAGCTTCTACTAAATCCTTCCAAAAGTAGATCTAAGCCTCCGCTTAAGAGCTTTATTTTATATTTCTAGATCTCTAACAGCAGAGGTTAGCCAGCTAGAGGAGATAGCTGACCCCGACGCTATTGCCATCACGATCTAAGAAGGACGCTTAAAGCTTAATATCTACAACGTGTATAACTAAAAAAACGAAGAAAATATAAAAACCTTTACAAGAATACTTAAAAATATATAGCTTCTAACATCTACTATACTAGTAATAGACGCCAACGAGCACTACCCTTGGTGGGACCCAGGCTGCAAAAAAACTAGCCAAGGCGGCCAGCCACTAGCCGATTGGATAGAAGACCAGAACCTTAGCCTCCTTAATACGCCAGGAGCTACTACTTTCTTTAGACCTAATATGTCTAGAGAAACAACGCTAGATCTAACTATCGCTACACTAGATCTAGTAGACAAAGTAGAAGACTGGCAAACTACTACAGAAACTGGATCTGATCATCACGGGATACTCTTCTCAATACAGACAACAAGAGACCTAGTTAACAACTCTACTAGCCAAATAAGATATAATACAAAAAGAGCAGACTGGGATCTATTTAGAGAGGAGCTAGCTAGAGCTATACAGAACAGCGTAGCTCTACAAGCCCTAGATCAGATCGAACAACCACGAAAAGTAGATTCAAGAAACCTACTCCTAGGCCAAGACAATCAG